TCACGTGATTCAGGCATGGGCAGAACAATCTGAGAGGACTACTTAAAATTGTCAACACTGAGACCATATATAATTTCTTTTATGGAACTTATTCATTTAGTTCGCGAATTTTTTTTATCACCCCTTTATTTTTTTTTTATGTTAAAATGATTAAACAATTAAACAATTATAACAAATTCCCAATTTTTCTTATATTTTCTTCGAATTTTGCGAAACTGGTGATAACAATGAACTTTTTAAAGAGGTTCTTATATATTCTATATTTTAAAATAACTCTTTTTATTAATCCATGATGATGAATATTAAGTATTCAAATACTAAGCCTTCAGAATACTTTCATTTTCCAAAAAAAGAATTTTAATATATGATATTCATTAGAAAGACATACAAATTTCTTTCAAAGTCATTGCTAACTTTTAATTAAGCACCTCAAAATCTAATTTCGAAAAGCTAATTAGTAAACAACAGGTTTATTACCTCTCTTAAAATAATTGGTTTGGTGTTCTAAGTCTTTGTTTAGCTCAATTCCAGACCCTGTCTCTAGGGACCATTATGTCTAATGAAAAAGAAATAGATCAATCCATAGACATTATTTTAAAAATACATATGTTGAAAACGGCTATAATTTTTATTTAATTTGCAAGAGTGTTATTAAAAAAACCTCCCTCTCTCTAAGTACCTGCAACGTTTTATAAAGTGAAGAGAAATGGTACGTTTTAATGATACTGAATTTTAAGAAATGAACATATGGTATTTTGAAATTTAAACAAATATTTGATTTCATTGTTGAATTACTTTGACATACTTTATGAAACTTTGAACTTTACATTAAACAATCTAGCATACCTTTAATTTAAAATCTTCTAAACTTTAAAGCAAATTAATTGGCAATAACTTTTGAAATCAATTCTTTTAACAAAAATCTCAAAATATTACAACAAAATATGGTCCGAATACATCATTCCAAAGATTACAAAGAGAGTATCCTTTCAAAAAAGAGATCAATCTTAATTAACTTATATATAGGGTTGTTAAATACTTGTAATTTATGTAAAATAGTGTTTTGGAGATGCGGTATAATGATTGAAAATTGTAAAATTGGGCAATTTTTATTTTATTTTTTTTTTTACTTTTATTTTTGCGAAACAGTTGTTCACAATGTACTTTTCAATAGGGTCTTTAAAAGTCTGAGACCAATTGACAGAATTAAAGTAAAAAAAATGTTTCTTCACCTTGTACTATAAAAATTAAATCTTATTTTTAGAAAAAAAAAATTGTTTCAACACAAGAAATTGGTCATATGATATTTATTAGTAACACATATAAATAAATCTACCGCTAATTCAATAATGACAAACGTAATTTCGAAAAGTTAATTAGTATACAACATATAGTTCTCCTCTAATAAGAGGATTAGTTTTAAAAAGTCATATCTATTTCAGACTAAATTCCATACCCTAGGGACCACTATGTCTGATGAAGAACAAGAAGATAATTACCAATCTATAGACAATCTTTTAAAATATACTAATATGGGAAAAGGGTATAAATTATTCACTCTTTAAAATTATAGGATCGTAAGCAAGTCCGAAGGATGATAAAAAAACCTTCCTATTGATTGGTCCCAAAAACCTCGACCTCTTAGCATTGCCCAGGTAGGCAGATCCTTCCTAGTCCTATTTAATATATCAAGCATCCTGAAAGTGTTGCATAGGCAATGCATGTCCCCTTCCGGGTTTCTCTTTTTCTCTTAAGGGTAGGAACTCGTTTGGAATATTAATTTAGAGCATCATGAATCCGATCGTTATCTCAATTATAAAAAAGAATTTGCCTTATTTCCGGCATTTGGAGAGACTGACAGATAGACAGAAGGACAGCTAGACTGCCAGAGGAAATGGTAAGGGACTTAACACAAAGGTATAGGATCAGATGTGAAAATAAAGTCAGCCAGAATGATATATAATAGGTAAAAACTGTAATTCAGGGCTTGAGAACGACCACAGAACTAATGTGCGAGAAAAATATTGATTTTCTATGCTATCGATACCTTTAAAGATAATGTCTTGATAATGTAACAGATTTATTTCTTTTCGTAACTTGTAATTCAAGACAGAGTTTTACATTTTTTATATAACTTTAAAAATTCACAATCGAGAATCTTCGTCGTTGGCATGCCAATTTCTTTTTTGAAATATCATCAAAGCAAATGACCAAGTAACAGGGCTGAGTTAAATTATTTGCAAACTGGAAGTGTCAGGAAATATAGTTGGGTATCGTAATTTTAAACCTTATTTTAGCGATATTTTGATCAATGAAAATGAAAACATGACAAAGAGTGATTAATTTCATACAAAACTACAAACTATATGAACCTAAAAGAAGTGTTTAAAGGCAGGACCTAATAAATTTCAAATTTAGAATCAGGGACTGATATCTAATCCAAGAGATTATGTCTTTTTTCCAAGAAAGATGTAAACATGTACATGCAAATTAATTTTTATATAGGAGACGTACAAAAGAGTATTCATACATGTGTTTATGCATACAGGAAGTAATGTAGAGCTCTAAACTTGACTTCTACTGAATGTATTTTATTATACCCCCCGCTTGAAAAGCGGGAGGGTATATAGTAATCGTTAATTCCGTCCGTCCGTCCGTCTGTCCGTCCGTCCGTCCGTAAATGTCCGTCCGTCCGAAACGCTTTGGGGTACCCATAGATTATCCGTCTTCTCATACCACTGAATGAAATTTGATGAAACTTTCACAGAATCTTTATTTATTGCCATTGTGCACCTCCTATTTTACTTTTTGAGACACATAAGTTTCCGGCCACAGGAAATCATGGACTTTTTCACCAGTTAAAATCATATGGGAGGCGGGGGGTATCATTTAGTGAGCTCATCGCTCACAGTACCTCTAGTTTTAATTTGAGAACGGATTCTCTTCAGTTCTTACTAATATTTATCTCAATGTAGAAGTTCAACTCAAACATTGAGAAGGCATTCTTATATAAATATCTTTTTTTTTCTTTTCTAGCATTTATGGGCAAAACTTGCACGATAAGTAACATACGATTCTCAGTAACCCTTTAATTTATTTTCAAACAATGATAAAGGTGGTTTAAAATTTTGATTTCCCTTGTGACAGAAAAAAGTAATTGAAATCATCATTAGCTAATGTGTGCTTTTGATATTAAGAATTTATGACGTCGAAATTAACAAAAGTAATTACACATTTGTTAAATTATCTGTAAATAGCGCTTTTTAATTTTAAATTGAGCAAGTTTTCCAATTTTACATTTAAAAATGTAATTAGCGATGTCATACTTTATAGATTTGAACATACCGGTATCTCTTATTAATTTAAAAGCATTCAAATTCCTAACCTTGACATAAAATAACATTGCAGTATGGGAATGCAGGCAAACCATAGCATTTCCTGACGTTGAACTGAAGAGTAAAATTTATGTTCAAAAGCATTTAAATATCACCATGATGTTTCAATATTGATAAACATATTAAAATTTTTGCTTGAAGGAATAAGTATCAGACACTGCTTTAAAACACCCTTTTGATGGTACAGGTCAGTTTTACTTGGTCTGTTGGTAATAAACATGTAACGCAATGAATTTATTTAATTCATGCAATTCCTACAGAGTATCTGATCCTACCTATATTATTCAGAGGTCGGTGACGAAATTTGTGCTGTTTTAATAAACCTGGGAAAGATTTATATTCCTTTACCTCACAACAAATAGGATAAAATAAATAATGGGATAATGTTTTGAATAGCAATGCTATCTTCACTTGAATTTCGGACTCTAATAACATTTTTTGATTTCACGTTTTCTTCTATTTTTTGCCTAAATGTCTACCTTTTTACTCTGCAATCCTATATTAAAGAAGTTAGGGTTTCTTTGTGAATAAAATGGCCGTGCCTTTTTCTGTCTCCAGAAGTTATTTAACTAGATATACAATCTACAATTATCCGAGCGAAAATCAATTGAACTGAACAATTTTGATTATTCAGAAATTAAGGTAAACTATGTTATCTAATTTAAAGCAAATGAATTCATTTTTGTCATTATTTTGCCTTGATATCTATTTATAAAATACAAAAACAGTGTTAACATCATTTTAAGGACAGATGATACAAAAAATGGATGCCTAGATTAGTATATTTTTTCAGCTTTATTTCATTTATGTAAATGATGCAAATGATAAATTTCTAGAATAAAATTGTAAACCTTCTATGATGTTAAAGATTCTGCCTCTCTTATGCCATCCTTGCTAATCTATGCAATTATTTGTCACTCAGTGCAAAATTGAATAAAAGATTAAAAACTATGCGGTGAAACCTTTTCATTTTACTCCTTAAAAAATGAATCAAGTTGTTATTTTCAATTTTTTGACAAACGTTTGTTTGTATCATCTCTCCTTAATGATACTTTATTATATTCTTTCATGTTTCATTCAAAAGATTATTACATGTTTATTAATTAACATGTTCATATTTGTATTTTCTTCCTCTAAAATGAACTAATTTCTTGTTTATTTCGTGAAAAAAATGAAAACCGTTTTAACATTGTAGGTGATATAAATGAAACAACAAAGTTCCAAAATGAAAATAGTACATTTATACAGTTTATTGCCCAGAAATATAATTATGTTTCTCATTGGCTGACCTTCAATCTAACTGTCGTTTTGTTTTGTTCATGCTAATTATTCAAATGGTGTACTCATTCATGCGATTCAAAAGGAACTCTCACAGGAAGGTAAGCTAATGTATATCAAGATAAAACAGAAGGTGCGTTTCAACAGTCATTAAGATGGGATGAGGTTATTCACTACTGATAAACGATTATTCTTTTGCAATATTATATAAGGAACTATTACATTGTTGTCGTTTTGACCGATTTTTGTGATAATGAATAGTTCGTTTTATTTATCATTGGTGTTATTTTGAACAAGGAGTGTTATTTTGACGTTTTTATTAAGACAATGCCAATCTTTAAAAAGTCTGTTGTTCTGGCTTTCTACATTTTGTCCATATTCATGTCAGTGAATACGATTGGTCAGTTATATACAACAGAATCACAGTTCGATGACCTTAGAACGGAAACAGAACTGATATCTGAAGATGACAGTGAGTCACTCTCGGACTGTGCTTTTCTGTGTAAACACCGCTGTCATTGCTTCGGGTTTAATTTGTTTGTTAAAAAATGTCGTCTGCACAAATACTGCCTCATGGAAGAAATGAACTCACCAGAACCTGGATGGAAGTATTACTGCGCAGGTTGTACGTATCATTTTCCAGGCTTTACAATATATTTTCGTTGACTCTTTAATTTATGAATTAAAGTTTTGGAACTTAATCACAATTTCTTTTTCGTTCTCCAAAAATAACGACATTTTCGAAATTTTAATATAGGAAGCAACTTTTCTTTGCTAAGTGCTAGGGACTTTGTCGTGAAAGTTACTGTACTTTGAAAAAGACCTACAGAAAACAATGTCCCTTGTCAAGTCAGGAATTGACACAATAAATATCACTCCTTGCTCAATGGTCCTTAAATCGTGTAAAGGTTATGACATGGAGCCCTTCACCTATAAATGTTGACATCCCTATTTATTAATTAAAATATCTAGAATAGGACGTAATACAACATACATTTAATTAAGAATGATAAAGGAAAACATAACATAAGCTCATGAATATTTAAATATTAAATATCAAATTATTATTGTTATATATCAAAAAAAGAAAGAAAGAAAATACCATGCGGGTCAAGGATTGAAATTATACATATATTTTTAGTCCTCATGCCAAGAAGCAGTAAGGGATCTTAGCCCTGCGTTCGGATAGAAACCTGCGTCGTAATGGTCAATTAATATCTTTGTAACCCTAGAACGAACGCTATAATAATTGTAAAACTTAGGCGACAAAAAGAGAAAAAAAATTTGCATTAATCATTAAGTGAACATGATTTTTTTTGTAAAAAATAATTATTTTAAAAAGTAGCCATAAATGATTGATTGATTGATTGATTGAATATTGTTTAACGTCCCTCTCCAGAATATTTCACTCATATGGAGACGTTACCATTGCCGGTGAAGGGCTGCACATTTTTGCCTATGCTCGGCACTCAGGGCCTTTGAGCAGGTGATCATGCCACACCTTTTTGTATACGGTCTCAAAAGCCCCATTAGTCGCCTTTTAAAAAGTAACCCGGATCCTCACGGGGCTAGCCAAAAATGAAGAGAAGGGGAAGAAGTTATAACTGATTATTTTGCATATTCAATTTGATGTGTTTTTTTCTCATCAACAACTTTGAAATTGATTTGATTGCAATGCTTGCGAATTTTTAAGCGTAGAAATTTAAATATAAAAACAAGACTTTAAAGAGACGTAGATACAAATTTAACATTGTAGGACAGAGAAAAATTCAAACATTGAGTATATTTTTTCTATTGCTTAACTTGTAAATTGTAACCATAGTAGGTGTTTTCAAGTTAATTGCAAATTATTGGTTTATTAGTCATATAGATACATGATAAATGCCAATTAAGTTGCGCAATTTACAAACCAATGATTCAAACTTAACTTTAAAAGGAATTCCTAATTTTCAGATACTCTACCAAAGGATTGTCAAGAGTATTATAACAATGGCCACACTCAGTCTGGGATATACGGCATATCGCCGTACAGAAGACGATGTCACGTGGTCTATGTATTTTGTGATATGTTGACGAATGGCGGAGGGTGGACGGTAAGTAACAAGAACAGCCACTGTGTATAATATTGTCCATGCATTTTGTGATATGGTGATGAATGTCAGAAGGTGGACGGTAGGTAACAAGAACAGTCGCTGTGTATAATAATCTGTGTATTTTATGATACGTTGACGTATGGCGGGGATGGAGAGTAAATTATAAGAATAGCCACTGTGTATATTTCCAATGGCGGAGAGTAACAGTTAGTAACAAAACATCTATTTTGTATAATTGCAATTGTTGGCTAATTTTATTCGATAAAGTGACAAATGGTAGAGAGTGATGATTAGTAAATTAAAAAGCTACCCTTCTATGTTGTGTATACAGTATATCTGAATATGTTGATAGAAAGCAAAAAAGCATAGCAGTTGTGCCATGTGTTAACTTAGTATTATGTTCGGATGAGACTTTTCTCAACTGATAAGCTTATTCGTTCTTTAAAGTCTAAACAATTCTATTACTTAGAAGTGTCACACATTTCTCTAGTTTAAAAAAACACGCGTTTATCGCAAACAAAAAAAAAACAAAACAAAAAGAAAACAAAAACAAAAAAGACACTTAATTCTCATTTCTTTAAAGTGGAGTGTGTGATATCTTTTTATTGTATCACTGTTATTATCTACTTATACCTTTTTATGAACTTAAGGCAATTCAAAGACGGAGGAGTGGATCAGTAAGTTTTGACAGGACATGGGTGGATTATAAGAGAGGTTTTGGGGAGGCAGAAACAGCATACTGGATCGGTTTGTAATTTCTTACTATCAGCATGTTACTTCAATTTCATTTTTACACATAATTTAGAGGCAAAACACTTCTATGCTTTAAAATTGAAGGGCTTTTTACACATGAGAAAGGGAATATTAACAAGTAGGCTGATTCATATTGACCGAGATTACAATTTCAAGTTCATTCTTGCTCATTTCGGTATATACTGTATAGAGACGTCTGTGTATTTCTTTGATATTTTATTTTCTAGACATCCTTTTGTTGCATTTTTCTATATGGTTTACATGGTTACTTTACTATAGACATTTTCATTAATAGTTTTAGATCTATATTAACAGTTTTTTGTTACTTACTTTAACCCAACATTTCTAATAAATTAATGAAGCAATAAAGGTTTGATCATATATAAGAAAATAAGTGTATGTACATTTTGAGGGCACAAAACAATGCAAAAGGTCTCCATTTGACGGTTCGATAATTTTTTTGAATATGAAGGCACCATGTTTATTTGTTTATTCATTTCTTTTCTTCTTTTATTTTATTTCAGGGAATGACATCATATACCTGTTCACGAAGGACATTAACCCTTTCCTGTATGTTTCGATCACACTTAACAATGGTACGAGTTATTATCAGATGTATGACCAGTTTTCCGTGTCAGATGATGCAGACAAGTACAGACTTATACTGACAGGTCCTTGGAACGTTAGGTAGTTATCATTTATATTATATATTTTAAAGATATACAAATTAAAATTATATCACAATCAATAGGAGTATTCATTCGAACGGTCAACACACTGCTTAGAGATACATGATATCGGTCTTTCTTCTTGGCTGTAAAATGTTCAGCCATTTTTCGTCATGTAACAAAGATAATCGATTATATCTGTTAAAAATATTTTTACATAAACCATTTTGCAAAAAATTATCAGAAATACAATGAATTATTGAATTCTAAAATCATAACATATCTTTGGGTATATTGGACTGTTAATTTTAATTACTGGTATATGGGATATTGTTTTTAATCATAATCATACAAACTCTACCTGTTTAAAATCAATGGCCAAAGGGAAAAAAAAAATTAAATATGTATTAACTTCGGATCAGGCAATATACTCGAGCAATTAAAGCGCGGCTTTTCTTTCAATACTTTGATTTATTCTAATTTTACAAAAATCTGAGTAATACAACCTCTAACTTATTTATAGCCAAGCCTTACCTTTGTTGCCCGTATTCTACTGACATTAATATTATATTGTGTCAATGATCAAATTATTGAGAAATGTTGTATTGTTTTCCTCCATATTTTTGAAATATTTTTATATTTCACAGCAATCAATGACGGTGTATTTGCAAATAATTGATGAGCTTTAACGCCAACTATATTTGCAAAATAATGTCTACATGAAATATATGAAACCTAAAGTTTTTATTGATATTGCAAGAAGTAAGATTTTCTGACAAAAAAAAAAACAAATAATAAAATAAACTTTAATTCGAATTTCCTCTGCAGTACAATATATTGACTTGTTCCTGCACGTTTTTTGTTTCAAATAATAAAATATTTATTTTTTTAAATTGATATATAGTTATATCTTGGTCATTTTATCCAATAAGAGCAATTTTTAATATAACAAATTGAACATTATAAAATTTTGTTTTCGAAACTTCTACAAACTGAGAAAATATCACCCTTAAGTCTAATGATGACTGATTTTTTTCATACTAAGTGTTAGTCCAGTATATATTCCAACTCCTTCCTGACATATGATACCACCTCTGTTGTTTTAAAAGTCTGTATTTGTTGTGCTCTTTAATTGTATTCTTGTGAATAAACTGTTTGAATACTATTTGTTGTTTTTATTTCAGTAAGTTAATTTCAAATTAATTTTAGGTGACAGGATCTGAAGACTGAAGTACCGGATGGCATATTTCAGTACCCCGGATGGTTTTCGGGACAACAGCGTACATTGCCGCCACCTACCGAGCTGGGTATGGTTTAATTTTTGTCACCACTTTTTGCTCAATGGACTTTTTTTCCTCAGTACTGGTATCAACCTACCCATTCCTCTGAAGGAGACACTAATGATGATAAAACCGCACTAAATATCTTTATTATATATGTACTGGTATCTAAAAATTCAGTAATTCTGATGGAGCTAACAAAAAAGAATCAAAAACACGCCTCTCAATCTTTCAATATATAGAAGCCCCAAATTGTTTTTTTTTAAATTCAATTTTGTTGTTATTTTTTCCCTTCCGGAAATGAAATCTGGGACTCTCTTGTCTCCGCTGTGTCCTTCCTCTGTCTTTTTTATTCATTTAGCTTTTTGTCTGTCTATCGGTTTTTTCCACTTGGTTTTGCACTTTTCTCAAACGCCTCTAGAGAATGAGCTGATTTTTGTTTGCTAATTGATGTTTCAGATGAGGTTTTATTTAAGGGTTTTCCACATTCCTTTTTTCAAAACATTTACACATACAATATTGAGCTGATATTTGGTTTGTGACCTTTCTAAACGAGGTTATACGTAGATCAATTTTTAAATTTTTTAGGAATACTAGTAACCATATTTTTTAATTTTTACTGGACCCAGATTACACATTCCGGTAGAGTAATAACATAACAATGGCAATAATGTCAAAATGTTTGTTAAAATTACAGAACTCCTTTGTCTCTCTCACTCCCTCATGGCACCTGATCCCAACTGTAATGTTTTGGGTTTCATTTTGATCTGCTTCTATTTTGTATTGTTTTATGGACTCCATTGTTGTATCTTGACCACATTTCAGTGCTTGTCTTGTAGATGACTACAATTTCTGATGTTTTAAAATACTCTTGCATGATGTCGTTTTCAATCATTTTTCAAAACAAAGGGGAACCATTGAGTACTTAGCTTTTATACTGTATATTTTTTTTTTAGATTTGTGTGAACTACCCCAAAATTGATGCTTATTAAATTTGCTATGTGTTTTAAGGTCAATCAAATATCATGAATGATGATGTGTTGAATTTTGGCAAACAGAACATTCGTTGTTTTAAATCTTTGTCGCCAGGGATGGTACCCATTTTTGAAGCCCATCACATCACTATTGTTCATTGAAACAGGCATGTGTCTATAAAATAGGCATTGGTTGCTGTTAATTTCACAAATTTTAGTGAATATTTCTTTCGGATTCTTATCATTTTTTACATCAGCTTAAATGAAGCGTTAAATTTAACTCTAGTTACTGGTTCTTTTCCATTCATTTTTAATGCAGTGTCTCGATTAGCCCTTGATTTTCAGCTTCTTACAATGAAAGATTATATGAAGAGTGGACACATGAGCTGATTTCAATTCATTAAAGATTCAATCATGAGAGAAAGTCAAGCCTTATGTTATATAATATCTGTGTTGTATGTCATTGTCATTAGAGTTCATGACATTATTTGTTGAACAGTCCTCGTATAACCCAGGTCCCGTGTTGTAGAGTGAGCTGGCACGAAAAAAGATACCTTACTACTATATTGCCCTAAGTGCCGTGTATAGGACAAAATTTGTAGCTTTCCAATGCAAATGGAGACATCTCCACATGAGTGAAATTTTTTCTAGATGGACCTTAAACAACAAACAATAAATCAGTCTACATCAGCCTAAGAGTAGATTCTTACCACTGACATTTTAGAGGTTCATGTTTGCTCTGCTCCTATTTTGTATTTTTTATGGACTTTTGATCTTGAATACTGTTCATTGTTTCCATGTGTTTCATTAGACTGCTTGTAACAAAAAGGTGTGCAGGTGACTAATGACAAGGTATACAAATCTATAGACGCGCTTCATATCATGTTCATGAACTTGTATAACATACCATAATTAATGTAGGAAATAACTCATTTGTAAAGTTTTAATAGCGTGCATTGATGTTATTTATTTTAACAATTATTACATTTTGAAGTTTCAAAAATTTCTCCTTGTAGTTTTTTAAGTAACACTTTTTGATAAACGCCGTACATGGAATATGTCGTTACGCAGTACTCCTGTACGTAGTTCAACTCTCTCTGCCGTTCATATTTACTTACTGATAAAATACAGCGACTGACCTATCTTTTTTCTTCTTTTTATTTCAGAATGAATTCATAGTTTCAGAAAACCATGAATGAAAAGATACGTGTATTTTTTATTTCTTTAATTTTTTTAAATAAATTCAATTAGAAAAATGAAAATGTTGTGTGAATATTTTATATTTTCCACTGTATTCTATAAAATAAAAAAAAATTCTATAGAGGCTGCTATTATCATGACTTGATGTCATCAACACCAAAAGGAAAGGGCGAGAGATAAGTTTTGTTTAAAAAATCATTTTTTCTTTTGGTGAGGATATAAATCTCGTGTATATTAATATGCTTAGTATGTAGATTAAAATAACAATAATGTGGGAGTATCCTGCAACCTTCTTTCCAATTCATATTCGATTGGTATGTTTTTTAAACAATTCTAGAATGTTGACTGAAATTTTTCTTACTAATTAATCGTAAGAGGGCAATAAAAGTCACACTTAATTGTCGACAGATTTTATTAATTTTAGTTTGTAGACTCAAGTATTCTGATCACATTGTGTAAAGCATCCCCCTGTTTGTCCTTCTGTAAGTCTGTCTGTCTTTCTGTAAAGTTTTTTACATTTCCGACTTCTTCTCAAGCCTTTCAACCAAAATTACCAAGCTGTTCGGCGAAGGGAGTTTAATTACTAGTAAATTAGTTCAAATGAAGGGGCACGCCCTCTATCAAGAGGTAATAATTAGTGAAAAAGACAATCTTTTAAAAATCTTCCCAAGAACAACTGGACTAGGAAAGTTGAATCGTTTGGGAAAACACCCTCAAGTAGTTTAGATTCAAATTTGTTCCAGTCATGACCCAAGAGGGTAGGGGGGTCTGCAATGGCCGATTAATGTTTTATATAGGAACACATAGAATTTTAAAAAAAAAAAACTCTTCTCCTCAAGAACATCAAAACCAAGATTGGTCAAATTCATATGAAAGCATCCATAGGTAGTGTAGATTGAAATTTATTCAACTCTTGACCCTAAAGGTAGATTTCGGCCACACAAATGATCAATATTTTGCATTGACATTTAGTTCTTGCTATTTTTTTTTTTTTACACTTTTATAGATAGTAAAATACACCAGTGAAAGTCTACAAATTAGACCTTTACGCAGCACTCAGGTCCATAGAGCAGCGAGGGTGCTTTATCATGCCAACTTCTAGCGGGACATGGGACCTTGCTTTTAAGGTCTTATTCCAAAAAACCCTTAACTTTGATTTCAAGATGTCATAATCGCATTTTTGAAGTGATATGAATCAGATTAGATATGTACATGTACTTAAAAACCCAAGGATCTCTTAATTTCAAATTTTTAAATCACAAAATTTTACAAAAGTCTCTAACATCAAAAAATAGAGCTCGTCAACTTGCAATACAACCGTTTTCCACAATGAATGAAAATTTATTCCCATTGACTTTATATGCAGCTGCTTGCTATTCGTTCAAAACAGCACAAGATCTTGCTTAAATTTGCAATTTTGTATCAACAATTTCGAAAACATGACAAGCTTTTGGCAAAAAATTAACGAAACAAGGATATCAAAAGTCTTGTTTAAATCAACTTTTCGTAAATTCTATGGTCGAAATAATGACCTTGTCAGAAAATACAAATAAGGACAGTTGATAGATT